TAAACGGATAATTATCATTAGGATAATGAAGCAATGAGACAGTCGGAAAAAGTGTTTGATTCAACAAATGGTCTTTTTTGTTTTGAATAAATGGATAGTCTTACAAGTTCAGACATAAATGTTTAACCAGTTCAAGATAGTTTTGGTATTTTTACTTTGAATAGTCCTTCTAATGTACAGTTTTGAACAAAAGTTGACTGATTAATGATATTTAGACATTAAAATAAAAAGAAATCGATAGTTTATATGGTATACATTTGGATCATAGTAACTATTTACATTTGAAGTATAAATTAACTTACTTGTGTAATACACTTTCAAATAACAAAGATCTCAAGAAGGATTTACTTACTTTTTTTGTATTAAATCAAACGGAAACAAACATCTGAAGAAGGATTTATAATTGTTTTTTGTATTAAGTCAAACAGATCAATATCAGTGTGTTCTGTATTCTTGACTGAGATGATGTCGTCCACAGCTCATTATCAATCTAGATGTTTACCCTAAGTATTGAACTGACGAATTATATTATAAATTATTTAAGTAATAATCGAAGTCTTCAAAAGTTGACAAATAAATTCGAGGGTTACTTATGATGAAGATTTACTTATTCGTTTCAGATATATAATTGAGTTTGGTGTAGTTTGTTGGACAATTGTCTATTTCTGACCAATTTTACTGAAAATATTATTGTTTGTGAATGTCAGATTAACGGAAACTAACTTTTGTCAAACACATGGACATTTACATTAATAGCATGTGCTGTTTTGATGCTGTCACATTTTATAATTTAAATAACTCAAAGGAGGAGCTTTCACCGTCAGTTTGGACGTGAAGTATGCTCCGATGAAATTGTCCAGAACGGTAATGAATTCTGAACAATCAAACCGTCTAATTCATTAAACACAACATCATTAAAATTATCCACTTGGGTTACAAATTCCCGTTTCATATACCTTTTATTATATATATTGCTCGCCATGCTATTTCGCTTATAGGACATCTCAGATCAACTTAAATTTCAAACATGTCACTTTCTTATGAACAGTGAATCATTCTTTCAAAATCAAAATCACCATCTAGAATCTGAACTTCTCAGGTTTTGTGTTACTAATGAACTTGTAGCAATGTAGAAATGCCAAAGTAGACACCAGCGAACTTACATTGCCTTGATGGCATCATGATAAATATGTTAGTTTCATTTGATACCAAAAATATCAGTAAATAGAAGCCGTTATCGCATTAAATATTAATAACAAGAATAATATGAAACAATAAATTCTTCTCATTTTGCTTTTTTTCTTGGTTCTAATGTGTAGTATCATTTATTCAAAATGCGATTTGGTCATTTAATCTTGATTTCCATTCTTTTTCCTTGTGGTTCTTACAAATCAATAGTACACTAGTAATTACTCCGGGAGTTCTAATTATACACTAGAAAAAAAAATCAAATATTGATATCATCTTCAATGTGTAAAATACTTTTGTGTCTGAGAAAAGAACTCAAATAATAATTTTTTGGTCATCAAATAATTCTGTTTGCTCTTAAGTGCCCTGGTACAGCCAAGGGTGGGGAGAGTCCGCTCTCCCTTTCGAAATGCTCTCACATGGCCACGCGTATACAGCCTCTGTCAGAGAAGTCATACTCATCGCCTTCTCGTGGTAGTGTGTTGTTTACAAAATTAAGAGGACGTAAAGCGAATATCTGGTGCTTTAACCGGGGTTGGTGAACACGGAGGGGAGTTAGAAAACCCTGATTCCAAACCAATGGTGTACACGGACTCCAGTATCCTGAATGAACAAATAGCATATAAACCAATTGTTATTGACCGGTTACCATGGCAATACATTTCCTTACGTTGCTTCACTACCTTCGGATCAGACTTTAAAGTCGAAGGCTGTAGATATGGTCCCCTAAGAAAGCCACCTACTTCTGTCTAGCCACTAGATCTGTATCAAATCCCCATGCACAAATCAAGTGGTTTATGTGGCACATATCTATTTGGTGCTCTCTTGTACCAATATCTATGTGTCCAAATAAAATTCAACAAAAAAGAACTGTTTCTAATTAAAAATTGATAAGTCTTGCAAATTGAACGCTATATTCGTTTCCTAAGCTATTCTGTAACCCCCCAAGCTAGAACTATGCAGCGACCTGAACACGAGAGAGAAGACGCAAAGTATGCGAGAAGTACTCTACTCCAAGGTTCATTTCAACACAGAAAATATAGGGTTTTTATAATATTTTAAATATCCTTGTGTTGCTCGAAGGTTCTGGAATGCTACTAAACATAGTAGCAGTATAGCAACCAGCCATTCCGAACTTCCACATGTGACGTTTCACTTCCTTGATATTTCTGGCTAAAACTTTAAGTGAACGCTGATTGGATGAAATGCTTCTTAGTATTTCTTGATCCTTGCTTGTCTTTTGCAAGAAATTTTCTGGATCACCCCAACAAAAATTAAGAATCATACTGAATTTTCATAATTTTCTTTAATGGATAAAATTTTTATTTATAGACAGTAATCTAATTTATGATGAGATTTGTAAATGACAATCTTTATTTCTATTTTGAGAGAAACGAAACAAAAAAGAAGAAGAGAGCAAGTCTTCTTGAAGTTTCATAAACATGATATGTTTTTGACAGTGAAGATAAATAATGTGATCTAATGTATACAACTAATTCACTGTTATTCTTCACATCTTTTGAAAATGATTATAGCAAAAATAAACATGAAAAAGAAAAAAACAAACAAGCTTTTCTCTTACCAAGATTCATGGTAAATGAGAATAATGCACATTTTTCGTTGTTGTGTGATAGTCCCTTAACAATTTTTAAAAAAAAATGTAACAAGATCAAAAGATATTACTATTCAAGGTATGTGATAATTTATGTCGAATGATTACTAGTTATACTGTCAATGGAAGATATGCTAAAATATAATATATAGAAGTGAGAAGGAACTTTGTAGAAAATACCGGTGCACACATGAGAAGGATGAGGAAATAATCTTTACTACAAATCTTACTTTCACTTTTACTTACTTACGCCTCTTACTCCCAATGGAGCATAGGCCGCCGACCAACATTCTCCAACCCACTCTGTCCTGAGCCTTCTTTTCTAGTTCCATTCAATTCTTGTTCATTTTTCTCATGTCTATCTTCATTTCCCGGCGTAATGTGTTCTTTGGTCTTCCTCTGTTTCTTTGGCCTTGAGGATTCCATGTGAGGACTTGTCTTGTGACGCAGTTGGGTGTTTTCCTCAATGTGTGTCCTATCCACTTCCAGTGCTTCTTCCTGATTTCTTCCTCCACTGGGATCTGGTTTGTTCTCTCCCACAGTACGTTGTTGCTAATAGTGTCCGGCCAACGGATCTGAAGTATTTTGCGTAGACAACTGCTAATAAACACCTGTATCTTCTGGATAATGGCTTTCGTAGTTCTCCAGGTTTCTACCCCATACAGTAGAACTGTCTTAACAGTTTGTAATGAAAATTCTGACTTTGGTGTTGGTTGACAGTTGCTTTGAGTTCCAGATGTTTCTAAGTTGTAAATATGCTGCTCTTGCTTTACCGATCCGCGCTTTTACATCTGCATCAGATCCATCACCGTGTTCATCAATGATGCTACTCAGATATACTATACCGATACGCTCTAGTTCCGATAACTCGAGGGAGATGTCTAGGTTCCGACAAGGGAAAATATATTCCACAAACAGCCAGAAGTACGAAGAGGAACAACAAGCACAACTCAAACGTATATATACAGTATAAAAATGTCCTTGGAAAACTGTGAGGACGGTTCACGGGTGATCATGAATCTAACGAAATTTTAATAGATGCTGATTATCCTAATGATCCACTATCTACCAATGAGATTTTCAAGAAATTTGATGAAAATGTTTCAGAAGAATCAAACCTTAATGACCTCATATCAAGTGTCGATGATCCTTACCATCTAATCAGTCGTAGTGGATTCTCTACTCAATGCGGGAAATATGTTTTAAATAGAATCACATTAATTGTAACTTGGGAATATGAGGACCCAACATTATTTCGTGGGGGAGGAAAAAGTCATAAAATTTAAGTCAGGACATAAACTTTGAGTATTAAAAAAGAAGGGAAAGTGATATGATGTAAAGAAGTCAGAATTCGATTGATTTACCCATTACGAGTTTTGGTTCAACATTACTTCCGTTTTGATTCAATGTAATGATTACTCAATGTAGTATTTGTTTTCTTTTCCTGTATGATATTTTATTCTGTATAATATACGGTATTCTTATATTCGATTGACATCAACTATGCTCAGCATGTGACTTGTTATAACTCTAAGTATTTTTCATATATGTGATTTCATCCTAATTATTGATCAAATTGTGTGTACAATCAATATATAAAGGAGTGTATTTTCTACTAGGGTCGTCGTCGTCGTGTTTTGGGGGTTAATAAATCATCAATTATACCAGTCTTGTGCTCTTACTTTCGAGTCATGGGAATTGTAAAGGTCCCTCGTTTCGAGTATAAGTGGTAAACGTTTCCGACACAACAGTCGGCGACGACTATATATAACAAGTAGTATTTAATTGACAAGTTATAACAGAATTGTCACAAAATAACATTAAAAGAGACATTTAAAGTCCTGTCAAGTGGGAAATCTGATATGAAGGTGAAAATGGGCACCTTCGGCGCGAAAACAAGAAATTCAAATTTCCGAAACAAAATTACAAAAATAAACGTTTATCAAGTAATTTCCTGGGATCTAGGATCCTCAACATTAACAAAATTTACTTCTTGAAAAAAATACACCGTTTAACCAATCGGGTATTATTTTTATGGTTTCTTATTTACGCTTAAAATCATTCTGATCAAAAAATTCAAAAAATTGTGATTGAAACAGTTAGATTGTGTTAACTGAAGGATCAATCGAATTATTAAAAAATGTCAGAATTCACCTAAATGTTCAGATATAGTTGTTATAGATTTTCCAGAATAAATTACCTATCTGAGTGTGGCCAGGTTAGAGACGGAACCTGGGTAATTAAAAGAATGAGCAATTACGAAGATGTATTCATAAACGTTTGAAATAAAAATAGCGTGATTAATAGTAGTAGTAGTAGTAGTAGTAGTAGTAGTAGTAGTAGTAGTAGTAGTAGTAGTAGTAGTGGTAGTAGTAGTAGTAGTAGTAGTAGTAGTAGTAGTAGTAGTAGTAGTAGTGGTAGTAGTAGTAGTAGTAGTAGTAGTAGTAGTAGTAGTAGTAGTAGTAGTAGTAGTAGTAGTAGTAGTAGTAGTAGTAATAGTAAGAACAGAATTACGGGTAGAGATCATATTTACACTTACTTGAAGTGGTCAGAAAAGAAAGTCATTGGTTTATCTGATAAAAATCATCCAAAAGAGAGGGACTGAATAAGTGGATATAGTATTTCAAGGTTTTCTTAAGCTTTTAAAATAACTATATTGTTAGTAAGTGACTGATAATCTTGACTGAATTTTGACCAACCTTTATTTTAGCATAAGTGTATCCTATGAGAAATACCTCAGTAGAGCCATCTTGTCACAGGCTTACGGAATAGATGGGTCGTAGTTAGCCAAAAAAAAATCCAGGACATGTGTTTCATCCTATTTGAGAAGTGTCAGCTGGATGTACCCGTATCCAACTGTACCATCAGAGTACATATCTGTGAAGGCGAATCTCCTATCGATGTAATACTTGACGTTCACTAAATAAATCAATTAATGCTAAATACACTTAACTATCCCTCTACTTAAGCAAGATGTAAAATTTTCAAAAACGTTACAGAGCATTTTTTTGAGAAGTTCTACATTCTGCACAATAGCTTGCACGGTAGTTATACGACGCTAGGTTAAGTTGACAATTTATCTTTTATTTATGTTGGCTTTACGTAGTAGATATTAAAATTAATATACTGTTTTCACAAGATAGTCTTGTCAATAATGTTTTAAAATTTAGCTGCTAGCTATTAAACAACGATATCTTTTTGAAGACTAACTAGGAGGAAATAGCTGATCAATTATCCCCAGTTTTTAATGTTTGTTGAACTTAGATCGGCTCATAATGTCAATAAATTGAAATTTTAAGATTTCATCTTTAAAGTCTTTAAGATAGTGATTGGAGATAGCTAATAGGAAACCCTGGACTTAGGTTTCATAATACTTGGTATTCGTCAGCAAGATGTACCTGTAACTTTGAGAGAACTAATGCTCTCTGACGGATTGATAAGATTCGATCTGTACTAAGAAGGACCTGTTATTGATCACCACTCAGTGATACATCAATTGTAAGTCTTAAATTATCATTTACTATTTACCAAAATAAACTTCACCTGGAGCTACTGCCGGTCCCAAGCCCGGATAAATGAGGAGGGTTGACCATCGGGTTAGTCACCCCATCCTGTAGAAAACTAACTTGCTAAAATAACGCTAACCAGAAAAAGTAATCCAAATCATTTACCAAAACAAAAGAATGTATACCAAAAGAAGAGGAAATAAAATTATGTTGTCCAATTTCATTCATTTTGTCTCACAATGATGTGAATTTATGAGTTACATAGTATTACTCAAAGAGTGTAAGAATGTGTGTGGGCGGGGGGACTGGTAAGAGAAGAACATAGAAAAAGTTATAAAAAAGAAGGGAGTATTATTGAGTAATTCCTTATGGAAATTATGTATGAGGCATTTGTTTTTCATTCATTCAAGTGAGTGAATTTACTTAATTCTTAAATATCTTTTGTACATATCATTTCTATTTGTATTTCTTAATTATTCCTTGTTCATTTTGTATTTATTATATCAAGTTAATTCTGTATGTAATTAACAAAATTAAGAAGATAGTTACATGACAAACAAGTTACATTCTGTTGTTTTTTTGTTTTTAATATACTCAGTGGACTTGCAATGATTTGAATTAACTTCACTCTCAAGAGAATACTATGAAAAGAGGATAACTTTTAAAATAGATAAACAAACAAATAATTTTTTTGAATAAGATCATGAAACGATTGATGCTAGAAAACCAGGAAGCGCTAGATGGCCATTTCGTTCTAGTATGGAACTCCTCCGCAGTGAGCATCCACATTCCCGCTCGCGAATTTCAAACTCAAGACCTTCATTCTCGCATGTGAACGCTTAACCTATAGACCACTGATCCTACCGGCATCCAATAGTGTTAGAGAAGTCCCATACTAGGAAGAGACGGCCGTCTAATGCTTCCAAGTTTTCAATGGTGGTCTAACATCGATCGATTAATGATCTTAATCAGAAACTTAATAATCTACACAACCCCATACTGATAATTTATTCTTGATTATTTTTTAACCGCATTTCGGTAATAGAAAAGAACTTGGGGTAAAAACAAAACGTCATTTAAGTTTAATTAAAAGTTCCTGTTTTTCTTTTTCGTATTAGTACAGTGAGTTTATAGAGATTGTTTATTGTACATTCTACATCATGAATTGAATTGTTTATTTCATTAAGCTAATCAATAAAAATCTATTCATCGATTTAGCGTAACTTTTAATTACTATGCAAAACAGAACTCAAATGTTACATTTGTATGAATTTAACTAAATAGTTAGTTGTTTTTTATTCTCTTAGTTGGTTCAATTCTGTATAGCTTCCGGCATGCATTTGATTTTATTTAGTAGATTCACAATTGACTTATCTTTATACTACTACTACTACTACTACTACTACTATTACTACTACTACTACTACTACTACTACTACTACTACTACTACTACTACTACTACTACTACTACTACTGATGATGATGATGATAATAATAATAATAATTCGAATGAATTGTTGACTCTCTGTTATCATTTAGAAAATGATTAAGTTCGACAATATAATTTATTAGCTATTCATATTCTAAAGTTTCATTACATTTTAGATTCTATGTCGTTTATGCTTGACAATGACACATATGCACAATTCATCACTTAAAAGAGGCAATGAATGTCATTAAATAAAGAATTAAATTTTCTATTCAGAATGCTTTGAAACGCAAAATTGATCCTCACTTTTTGAAGCTAATCGACAATAAAAACATACTGTAGTAAACATTATGAATTAAACTTAAATTGCATTAAACATATCTTCATCTTACATTAGTACTTTGATCTATATTTACATTTTCAATAAAAGGAGGAAGAATCAAATAATGTAAATATATACACAACATAAATTACCTTGCTGTTGTTTTACCTGTATCTTCCCATTGTTATTTAGGACTGCAATTGATCAGTCTCTTATTGGCATATATGCATCCTATGTGGATTGCCTCGATATAGCCTTAATTCACAAGCTTTTTTAGGCAAGAATGATAGTGGTTAGCAGTGGAATCAAGGACGCGCGTTTCGTCCTATTTGGGACTCGTCAGGTGGATGTGCCTGCATCTACTTTCAAGACGGCCTGCTTGAGCATCTATGCTACCTGTTCCTGCTATCTAGATATTTCAACAAGTTATCTATTTTTGTTTGTTTTAATATATCATTATGTCTATTAATCGCATAAGCTATCCTGGTGCATTTCTGAAAAGTGTACAACCTTTCGTTGTCAAAGTTACAAAAAACTCAATAAGAGACAATGTGGTTGCTGGCAATATACAACGAAAAGAATGTACATTATTCAGATGTTCATTTACTGAACTGCTAACATCTAACTGGCGATCACTCAATATTTATCGTCAGGCCCGACCAAGAAGAAAGAAATGGAAACTTGTTGAAATACTTTACGCTGAGAATTCTACATTGTACCAAAAATACAATATGGAATAAAGCTAATAATAATAATAATATTTACTCCGGGAGTCAAGTCCAATACCATTCACTTCAAACACCATCGCGTTATCCAGTTTGCTACTGAGTCTTGATATCCATCTACTTGTGTACACAACAAATATGTTATCCGTTACTTAGCTATCTACCCTACAACAATGCATAATACAACTTTAACGAAATGTATAGAAACAGTAGTCATAAAAATAAAACATTCATAATACATTTAAAAAACAGACATAATATTATAACATCAATTAATTAAGTTTAAAATTAACTTTGGAGCATAAGATTGATCGACATATATGTTTAATCACAGATTTTGGATAGCAGTTACATTATCCAAGTTTAGCATTCTATAATTACCAATTAAGTTATTTTCTTTTTTTTAAAGATAAGTAAATATGAATCACCATTGATTGATCACTGGGTGATGATCAATGTCATGTATGTCAAGTCCTTCTTAGTGCAGATCGAATGCTATCGATCAAGTTACAATGTGGCCACTAGTCTAGGTGACTCAACATTGATTGCACTATGCTGAGATTAGACGGTTGTTGAAGGTGGTCAGCAGGAAACCCTGGACCCGGGTTTCGTGCTACTTGGCACTCGTCAGTAAGGTGTACCTGTAATATTGAGGGAACTGTTGCTCCCTGACGGATTCGATCCCGTGTCACCCAGCTTCACAGCCAGAGATCTTACCACTAGGATATCCGTGGCGTGACCGACCTCCTGTAGGATTGAGATGCAATCACAATTGGTTGATCACTGGATGGTGATCAAATATGAATACTCTATCCATTGCCAGATAAATAAGGACGTATTCAAAAATCAAGTTAGTGACAATTTGAATTATTCCTATTATTGTTGATAATAAATATTTCCTCTGTTTATGATGGAGTTTTGTTCCCTGAGTTGGATGATTTAGTCGTGGGGCTTTCATCGTTCTTCTAAACGACACCATCAGCACAAACTTCAGGAAAAAGAACGATGAAAGTGTAGTAAGCCCATTCAACTACTGCATTATTTATCTGCTCACTGTAATTTAAACACTTAATCCACAATGTAATTTTCTGTTTATGGTTGAGAACATATCAATTTTTAATGTATCCTCCCAATGGTTGTAATACACATATATGATTAACATTCATAAATATATATGGATTTTTAACACTCACGCATACAAACTCTTGGTTTCCCTGTGTGCTTGCTTCCTGTACGCTTGAGGATTTTACCGATCTTTAACAATAAACTATCTCTATAACTGGTGTTCAGGCTTTTGAATGATCTCGAATAAATCCATAATTATACTAGGAGACTCAGCCTGCATTAAATATTCAGCTAACGGGATATTATTTATTGTAGTCAGATATAGGGGAAATTAGCCTCTACCAAGCAGCTCAGAGAACAAAACTCCGTCAAAATCATCTACTTGAGCTACAAATCTTCTGCACCACTTCCTCTGTTTATCTAATATATAGATTTCCTGATATCTGTTAAGATTACATGTCATTATAATTCACTGATAT